TGATGAATCCAAAATTTGAGTATTTTTCTATGTTATGTTCATGTTTATAAACTTTTTATTTAATAAAATATGTTTTCATAGTTTGTGTTGTCCCTTATTATCAATGCAAAATGGTCACTAACTAAAGAGGATTTATGCTGATATTGCCCAAAAACCCTATTTTGTTCAGGCGTTTCCAAACTTTTGGAGGGCAGTGTATATACATTTGGATTTGATGGTTTTTATTCTCAATCTTGACCCATTCTCGCTTTCATCTGGACTCGATTTTAACTTCAAGCCTCAACCCTCTTTGAAGTCTTGACTACATCTCAGCTAGTCCTGGCTTTGGACTTGACAATAGCAGCCTTGACTACAACACGATTGCAACACTTCTTAGTACTGTATGATATACAAGGAAAAAGGGACTTCTTCAAAGCAAGGCATGAGAAAGACTAGACCCAGAGTATCTAACACTTACAATATATTTCCATATATTTTGAGCAGAAACCTTCCCCCCCCCTTTTTTTTTTTTTTTTTTACTGAACATTCCTAGCAGTCCTCAAGTACTTCCAGAGCATATCTACTGTGGTTGGTCCCATATTGCCTCACCAGGTATGCCAATGTTAATTTGTCTCTTCTAAGGCTAGAGGCATTTCGGCAGTATCTATGGGAGTAGTTCTAATTGAATCGGAGCACAGCCTCTATATTGCAGCTGGTCTAGTCTGTTCATGGAGGTCTTTGCTGCAGCTCTGTATACCATGCAGCAATAATCTAAAACAGATCTAATCAGAGCTCTGAAGACACTTTCTCTGTTTGCACCCCAGCTATATTCCACAATGGCCCTCATTATGTTTAGCAAACTCTTACATTTGGCTTCCACATAATCTTTCTTCCAAGCGTATTTGCTGTCAAACCACAATCATAGATATTTGAATACAGTTACCCTCTGTAAGGGGCATCTATAAAGATACACTTTCAGCTTTTTACATATACGGAGTCCACCAGCTTCTTTTGTTTTCTCTTTTATACTCCAGGAAGCGCCTGGCCTGTAGCATTCAGTAACCCAGCATGGACAGGGTTCCTCCTAAGGTGAGGGAAGACAGACACAAACAGACAAGCACAAAGTACAGCAAAAGTATTCCATAATAGGAACCATTGCAAAAGTAACATGACTCAAGGAATGTGGTACTGAGACTAGTCAATCCTCAAGAAAAGATCTAGCTGCTAGACCCCCAGCCACCCCACTCTGCCTTAAGATGCATGTTCCATGTCATCCAGCCTATCTCCAACCCTTGTACACATATCCTAATTAAAATAATTCGTATATATATATCATATATTATGAATTACATATTACGTCCTGACTTAGAACTTACATCTATCATTAATGACATGGAGCTTCCATAAATAATCAGTCAAGGTCTAAATTCAGGTTATTATCTCATTATCAAAAGCTCCACTTATGAGCTGCTCAACTAGTACCTCAAAGATCATCAAACATGTAAATATTTGACATTATTTTCTGTGCGTTATTCATTATACCACGGCGCCGAAATTTTCAACTTCAAGGTGGCGAGGTGGTAAGAGTAAATATGCCTTATGTTATTTTGGACTCCGTCACACCACCTCGTCATTGATTATTTTCCCATAACAGCATGCCACAAGTGTTTTATTCCTTAAATGCAGCAGTGCTAAAACTTGCCTGAGGTCCTCACATAGTTACAGTGGTTCAAGTTCAGGTGGGTTTTATTGTCATTCCTGTATACAGCTTGTATACTTTGGAACAAAATATTGTTTCTCCAGGACCATGGTGCAACACATAACACATACAGTGGCACAGTACACAGGGCTATATAAAGTTGTTGTTGTTGTTCCCCTTTTGGCTGCTCCTGCTAGGGCTCCCCACAGCAGATCAGTGGTCCGCATATATAAGATTTGGCATAGTTTTTATGCCGGTTGCCCTTCCTGACACAACCCTCCCCTAGTTTATCCGGGCTTGGGGCCAGCACCAAGAGCGCACTGTTGCACTGGGGTTGTTTCCCTGGGAATCGAACCAGAGCCACATGGGTGAGAGCTCTGTGGCCTAACCACTAGTCCTCCAGGGCTATATAAAGTGCAAACCAGTGTGAGATGAATGCAGGACATTAAACTAACAGGAAAGTGCAAGTTGACTATACAGGACAAAAGAACAGTGTTGTGTGGGAAAACTATTGCAATAATGGTCTGTAAACGATTGTGTAGTGTAGCAGCAGTAAATGTAGCAGCAATATCAAGTTAGCAGCAAAAAGTTTCTCATAAATAAATAATATAAATAGGATAAATAGGATCACTCCATATCAATTGATCCAATAATTGTAAAGTTGGTTGCCAGATTGAATTAATTTTTCTAATTATTTTTTTGAGTGATTTTGTATTGGAACTGATCTTGAAACTGATCTCTAAAGCACATTACAAGGTACATGTACGCATATAAACATTTTGCACATTCTTGTTCCTTAGGCTTAGAACTTAAGTCCAATTGATCAATTTAGGGTCAATTTATAATGGGAAGGGTTCGAGCTTCAGCCTTAAGGTGGTACCTAGGTAAGTATAATGTGCATGCAGGACATTTCAGGTTTGAGACTTCTCTTCTTTTTTTTATGGGGGCGAGAAAGTGCAATTTTTTAAAATTCCCCTCAATTTTGGGCTGAATATCTCTGGTGGGGGACCAGATACGAGCCTGAAATTTTCACAGAAATAAGTCCTCTATCGTGGCTGTAAAAATGTTTAGTTTGAGATTCCACTGGTTACAAACGTAGAGCTAGTAGGAATCTGGGGACAAGCCTACTTTATTCATGCATTTTGAGAAACAGACAGATGTAATATAAGCATAACTAATAATAAAAATGAACAGTATTTTAAAGTAATTATGTTTATGATTGACATACAAGACCTTATGCTTGTCAATGAGGTCTAAAATGTTAGTACATTTGATGTTAGCAACAGTGAAGCATAGGTGTAGAACTATATGATGTACTTCATTTATTGCTTGGTTGGGCCTGGAGCTGGGCCAGTTTTGGCTCAGAATTAAAATGTCGGTTGATTGCATTTGCACGCTTTTGGCAAAAAAATAAAAAAAATAAAAAAATCTAAATGCTGTGAAAACTTTATGAGCCACATTTGTCCCAAAACCTGCAATTTATGTAACTGATCTAATCTTAACCATAATCTTAACCATATTTCCCCCATAATTATTTTGAATAAAATAAGGAGGCTCTGAGATCATGGTGAAACATACAAGACACTACTGTATATGGACACTATACAGCGTGTAATACATGTCAGAGAGCTGTGAAAGGCGGTTTGTTCGGGATTCTTAATCAAATTATGAAACGTAATATAAATTGTGTGATGCAGATGGGGAAAAAAACAGTTCCTTTCAGTCCAGGTTTCTTTCTTATAACATGAAACGGCACACGTTGTTTAGGTTATGTTGTATTCCATGAAATATGCACATGTGCAGAGGATTAGTGATTTTAGCTGTTTCACTTTAGTGCTATATCACAAACATCTGGACTATAGGAAACGAGCCTTCTGCACTGGGGTTTCAGCAGATGTTCTGCTGTATGGTCTCATGACTGAAAATGATTAAGAATGTGTCAACTTGTCTGAAAAGTTAGAAATGGTTATGATTAGTTTTCGGAGTATTCATTTATATTGAGTTCAATGAAACGCCATCCATTATCTTGGTGCTGCTCTTCCTGTCTATTGCATCGAACTACAGGAAACTACAGGAAAAAGTGCCAATAGCAATATCAGTTACTGCGTTGTTGGAAGTACAGAAACAAAACTGCTTTTATGTATACACGGAGAAAAAGCGATACAATGAGAGAAAAGGAAAAGAGGAATAGAAGGCACGTGGTACATGATGCAATGCTTGGAATGAATCTGATTGGGCATGCTTCATTTGTAATGACCAGTCACAGGCTTGGTTGCACGACATGTTCACCTGCACGGTTTGACTAGCTACCACGTGCCCAACAGAGAGCAAAGCCTACACATGGCGTCCATTTGCTCCGTAATTGTGCCATATTGTTTAGGAAAGTCAGCTGAACACTGTCTCCACATGAAGTATATATGCTGAGGCCTTAATAACAATATGCACCAGCACTAAAAAATTAATAACAATGTGACTGCTTCAGATCTATCTGATTTTGGTCTATGATGACTTATTGGAGATGACAATTATATTTTCTGTAACATGACACTATATATTTATAAAGTATCAGAATAACGTTCTTTGTTATATACAGTATATTTTAGATAGATGGGTAGTTTTAGGAGTATTTTAAAGTAGGTACATTGTATGTAATGTACAGTGTAGTACTTTTATAGAAGTGTTGCACTTATGATTGTCTAAAGCTACACAAACATATAAAGAAATTGTATACATTGGTTATTTTGGGTCATTTTTAGATTTTACAAAGTGAAGCTGTTTCATATAAATTCTTTCCCAATAAACCTATCCTGTAGCTTTATGCACATTTGTAGCACGTTAACTCACACAGCCTGTAATGTACTGGAGTTGCATCCAGAGCATATTCCTGCCTCACCCCCAGTGTTCCCGGGATAGGCTCCGGATCCAGCCGCATCCTGAACAGGATACATGCATTTATGATTGCATTAACTTACATAGCATTCTGTGCTCCACTTTGCAGAAGCTGTGGTACAAGAGGGATAAAACACTTCAGGACGTGCTATTATTGGAAAATAATCAGCCTTAGACTCTGCTCTGCATCAGGCCACATCACACCACACTGTCTGTGATTATTTTCCTAGAACTTCACACTTAATCTTCCTTAATCCTCACTGGAATCATCCACACTAGCATATTTCTTGCATGTCATATTCTCCTTTAATAATCACACAGGTTAATACTGAATCCATGTAGGAAACTGAAGTTACTCCTGAGTGAACAGACTTGTGGATTCCAGCTCTAATGACTTCCCACACTTAAAAGAAAGTGAACGTGAAGAGTCATCGGTGCTGAGTTCAGACGGATGCTGTGTCGGAGAGTCAGCAGGCATTATGTAGATTATTGCAGTGTTATTCTCTCTGACAGAGAATGCAGCATGGTCCTGGAAAAAAAAAAAAAAAGCTGCCACTTTGGAGTTCTTTGCATCTACCCCATGCTAAACATCAACAAAATCTCTAACCTTATCTGAGTGGTGTGAATTGATGCAGCTTGTCAGGCTACTGAGACACCGCAAGAAATCCAAAGACTCTGAAGACAAAGAAGTCAAAGTCTTGAAGTCTCGCTGTCTCGAAAAACACTTAAAGTTTTACTTTTCCTGTTACAAAAGACTGACATTGGAGACTCCTTCCATCAATGGTAAAAAAAAAAAAAGCCTCTGTACAGAAAACTTCATCACAGCAACAATTACACAATTTTAAAAGTGTGTATAAAATCGTAGTTTGAACATGAAAATCTGATAAAAATTAAATAAAAATAGTAAATAAAGATATTTACTTAATATTTACTTAATTTCAACAGTTAAAGCACTATTATTAATGCTTAATATTTCTTAATATTCAATACTTTAATACTTTTTAATGCTTTACTTTTTAAATACTTAAGTATATTTAAGTAGCAAAATTTTACATTCACTCGAGTGAATTTTGGCTGGATTCTTTCATTTATGATTGAGTAAGATTTTGACACATTAGCTATATTTTCACTTTAGCAGAATTTTTTTCAGTACTTTTTCTAACCGCACAATGATGACTAGTGAATGCATTAGCTGACGAACCCGTGGGCAAATCGTTTTCATCATTAACTCACAATGATCAGCCTGCAAAATGATCGATCCAGGAATGATCCTCCAGCCCTCCTGGAACAGTCAAGTTCAAGATGTTCTGATGTTTAAACCTTTCTCTACCTTGTCATCATTATTATGGTTTGTTTTCTTCCTTCTCCTTGATCCATAAGTTGCTTGGCACTCCTGGGCAGTATCACAGCTCCCGCTGTTTATATGTATCAACAGGAGAATCTGATTAGATGGAAACGCAGCCAAGCACAAGCTCTCAGCAGATCTAAAACATAATGAACGGTTTTATCTTATTGCCAGACGGCACTGCATATTGAAGAGACGTGTGTTCTGCCAAACAAAGTCTGTTTGTTTTCCTGATATTCAAATCTGTAATTATGATTCATAAGGTGAATGTATTTTAGCGCTGGGACCTTCTCCGGCGTTGAGCCATGTGCTCCTCGGCTAATTATAAACCTGAAATCAACTCAGCGCTGACATAAACTCAATGCCTTCATGCGAATTCAACTTTTCAACATAGATTTCATGTCACATTTGAGGTGCAATAGGCAATATTTTTCATTTCGTACTAGTACAAATAATGTGGAAAACTATGTGGAGATGATAGTTTAAGCCATTGTCTCAGAACAAGTATATTATGTAGCTGATAAATCATTATGAGAAATTGTTTATAGAGATGCTTATAGAGCTGTAACGTGGCTTTCGGGCACTTGAATGTCAGAGTGCCCTTGAAAGTGATGTCATGAAAGTCCTTGCTTATGGTAACTCTAATTAGCATGCTAACTCTAGTCGAACCACCACATGGGGGCGGGGTCAATGACTAAAAAAAAAATCATCCAAACCTTATTCAACTCCACCCATTTAACTGTTAGAGATCTATTTTTCCACTATTCTTACCTAATGCACCTTGTATGGTGTGTGTGAAGTGTAAATCAATACATTGTTTTTTAAATCAGATTTTAGATAGATAGAAAGCTTTAGAAGTCTTGCCATATATTTCAGAGTTGCTGTTTGCTAAGGGAAAACCTTCAGATCCTATAGACAAACAGTCCAAAATGGCAGACTAAATAGAGAATGCGAAAAAAGCAAACAAACAAACAAACAAACAAACAAAAAAAAAAAACAGGGGAAGAGGTCCTCTTTTCAAACTGCTAACCACTTATATATTTTTACATATAACATCTATATTTTGTCAAATAGAGTCTATTCTGTTTTATTTTTCTATTTTATCCATTATATTCTTTTAGCATATTCGGCTTTTATTATATTCTGTTCTATTATATTCTGTTTATGTATCA